TAGAAAACAATTACTGTAATTCACCATAAGGGGTTTTTTATGTTCCAAAGGCTGTAGTACATTTGTAGTTACAAGGCTGATTTACTACAGGTGAAATTTTGCCAATTTATTTCTTACTGTATGTACAGTACATAATTATTCTTAAAAAACAATTACTGTAATTCACCAAAAGGTTTTTTTCATGTTCCAAAGGTTGTAGTACATTTGTATTTACAAGACTGACTTACTAAAGGGGAAATTTTGCCAATATCTCCCTTACTGTACGTACAGTACATCATTATTCTTAGAAAACAGTTACTGTAATTCACCATAAGGGGTTTTTTATGTTCCAAAGGTTGTAGTATGTTTGTAGTTACAAGACTGACTTACTACAGGTGACAGTTTGCCAATATCACCCTTACTGTACATACAGTATATCATAATCTTCAAAAACAATTACTATAATTGACCAAAAGGGTTTTTCATGTTCCAAAGGCTGTAGTACATTTGTAGTTACGAGACTGAGTTGCTTGCTCGCTCAGAGGAGGTGTGAGCGATTCAGCGGCATAATCTGTTTTCTTCCTTTAATAATGGGCCTATAATTAAGCTGCGTATTGACGTTATCTGTGTCATCTTGTCTTTGACTAAACACTGCCTTTAAGAGTATCTTTAGTATGCAGTATAACAGCATTATTGTCTGTAGACCACTTTTTACACAACGTCAAACATTTTGTCCGTGTTTACAATGGCAAAAGAAATCATAAACAACAAATGACTCTTTTTTTTTTTTTTAAACATACAGTGCGTCCTTTGTATTGTTTGATTCAAGAATGAATGAGTCTTATGAGCCCATCCCTTTTAGTGAATCAAAAACATAAATCGTGGCCAGTGTGGTCTGATTCCCTGACTATTAAATTAAAAGTTCAAAAAGACAAACTACTGTTTGAATTAATCTGCTTTCACTCAACTGATTCGGTCAGAGCTGAATTAACATACAGTATGACTCTCTTGCTGAACTGCTGTTTATTATTATTATTATTATTAGTTTTAGTCCGTATCAAAATTAAGCTTTGTATTTTAAGTTTAAGTTTTCTTTCTTTCTTCTGAATTTTTCTGAAGTTTTGGGTCACCATCATTACTGACTGATTGTCCATATGTGGAAACCATTTTTTTTATAATGTGCATTTGATCTTGTTTTCACTGTTAAAACTTTCATACTCTTCAGCAGGGGCGTCACAACCAAGGGGAAAAGGGGGACAGAGTGCAAAGAGCCCCGAGGCTGAGAGGGGCCCACAACGATGTCCTTTGGGCCCCCCATCCCCCAACCACCACTAAACATGATTTTAGGGGGCCCCATAGCAAATTCTGTGCAATGGGCTCAGAATCCCTAGTGACTCCACCACACTTCAGTGCATATGCTTCAGTATTTGCATTCTAATACTTATTTGTGGAAAAATGGCCACAATTGAAATAGCCATATATTATAATTTATGCTTGTGAGGCTGCCCTGAGAAATTATGCAATAATCCCACCATATTGCCTTTTCTTCTTTTCTAGAGGTTTCTAATGCTGCCTGTTTGTCTCAGTTGTGCGCGAGGCTTAAGATCCGCTTTTGATTTCTTCTTCCTTCAGCTTGATAAATCACTCTGCCACCCAATCCCTCTTTCCTTCTCTCCCCCATCTTTTCCCCACCGCTTCATTGTCTATCTCTTCTCTTGCTTGTCTGTCTATTACCCCTTTCTCTCTCCTTGATTTGGTGGCAGCGAGAGCATATTAAAAGCATTGGTGTAAATTATTGGTATGAGTCATAGCAAACTTGACAGCAGACATTCAGAGTATTATTGTGAAAAGACTGAATGGAACTCTGGATACACTCGTTGATGGTAAAAGGTGAGAGAGAAAAGGCAGGAAAAAAGAAGATTGCACAGTAGGTACATAGTGAGTCCTTGTGAACATGTGTCTGAAACAGCTTGTGTGTGATAGTGAATGCATTTTTACCTGTTTTTCTTCGGATTAGAGGCTGTGTATTCATCATTAGGCAGTGGCACATTTGATTTACCTCTATGTCCTCTTTGCACCTTGAGCACCATGACAAGTGCTGCAATCTCCAAACGCTCCCCCAAGACAAGAATTTTCCTTTGAAGCTCTTTACTCAGCATTATGAGTACCTAGATGCAACACAATCTCTATTCCCATTATCTCTACCACCCATTACTTACACCAGACCATCTTGTAGACTCAGACTTATTAGTCTGTAATAGGCAAAAGTAAAAGGAACAGATTGGTTTGACCTTTTGAATAAATGAACTCACTTGTCATTACCCATGAGGTTTGATACTATTGCTTCTCAAAATATATAGACACTCAAGCATAAGGTTGTTTGCTCAGCTACCTTGCTTTTCAACAGGTCTAATTAACTGTATATTAAAAACATAATGGCTTTAGCATGGGTTTTCTCTCATATAATCTTATGGGGGTGGGGGATTATGCTTTGGGTATCATTGGGTGTATCTATTAAATGCTGCAATCAAACTGTCTTAGGGAAATTAAATAAAGACTGAACTGAAATGAAATTCAAGGGATACATTTATCCTTAAAAGGGTTCAGTGCATCAACCAAGTTTCCAGGTTGATAAAAAAAAGAACACCTGTGTGTCCTGGACATTGTGCAATGCTAGCCAATAAGATTTGATCAGAAAGTGCTTTTCAGTTTGGAGTGCCATATGAATAAGACATTAGAGAACACTAGGCAGTATGCGGTCTGTGGGCGTGACGTCTGAAGCGGAGACTCTTGTGCCATGAACCCGGCGGGCTTTAGGACCCCACTATAGTCAAAGAAAGGGAAATGTTTGATGGATCGTGAAGTTCATCCAAGCTTTCTGTCGGACAGAAATTTGGCGGAGATTCCGTCGCCAAATAAAGCCCGAGCATCATTCAACCTAATAAGAGGCAGAAACATGCTTGTTCGGATAGACCCGTGAGCGACAGACAGCGGTGACATTGATGAAGCCAGCTGGCACTCACTACACGCTCCTGAAGCCTCGAAGCACGCCGAGGATCTTTGTGTAATTCACGTGAAGGATCTGTAGCGCTGCTAATAAACGGAAGCTGATGACAGTGAGCATGTGACGGGTTGTAGTGTTTGAAGCTGCGCTGGCTCGCTCGCGATCTGTCAGCAGTGCGGAAGAGAGAGAGAGAG